TATATATATAGAGAGAGAGAGAGAAATTACTCTCTGTGAGCCCAAAGAACGAACTATAATAAAGTCCACCAAGTACGAGCTACCGTAGACCGATATGGACATAAAAAGGGTCAAGTTAGAAACTTAAATCAGTTCTAATGCATAAGAAGAATCAAAGCCATGACACGCACCAGCCAGTAAACTGCTTCTAATTTCTGCTCGTAATTACTCTAGGTAACTCACCAGCTACACAACGAGCTGTTTTTTTTTTTTTTTTTTTTTTAGGTATCAATAAATATATGTATAATACAGATATTACTAATTAAATGCCACTACTTTCTGGTATACAAACAGTCGATATGTAGTTGATATTTACGCTCTCTCAGACAGACGTATTATATAGATAACAGTGACTAACGTGGCGTTCACGAGACTTTACAGACATTGCTACGATTTTACCAATTTTGCTTGATTTTCAACTACTTCTACGCCCGTCGCCGCCCTAACAACCCCTGTTTTTTGATGTCTGCCAGAATGACGCAACGATACGCGTGGGTATACGTCGAAATCCATTGTCCCTTTATCTAAATGAATATCAACTGTTAGGAACGCATCAGTAATATAAATAACATGCCAGTGTCGCCGAAGTCAGTCACACAATATATGCGACCGTATCAAGATTTACATCCCGTGCGAGTCGTCGTTGCTAAGTTCAACTTTGATTTGTATTCTCTATTATTTGTTACATTTCGTTTATTCCTCCCTGTCCCACGTCTCCTTCCCTTCCGTCCGACTCTGTATCGCTGACTCACTTACGTATACTTCAACTTCTACCTTTAGTTATATTGTTGCCGTCTCCCTTTTCAGCGTTCGAAACCTCAACAACAGCAGCAGCAGCAGCAGCGGTAGTAACGGCAGACGTAACCGACTTGCTGTCTACGTTTATACGCGCCCGTCCACGTATTCAAGCATGCTCATTCATATCTCATCCACCAAAACGCCCTATTCGTTCACCGTTAACAGCAGACGCTCCAACGGCAACAGCAGCAATTATGGTCCTCCTGCAGTGCTACTAATCAATAGCTTCACCACCACCACCTACGCCGCCCAGTCTGTAGCGGTGGGCCTTAAACGCGCGCGTGCGCGCGTGCGTACGTAATTCTCGATCAGTAACGCCGACGACAGTTTTGGGGCGGCATGTAACGTACATCACAGCAGCAGGACAACGCACGGCAATTCGTGGCCCGCGAATAGAGCTTCTTTCACCTTTATTGTATTTTGCGGTCTATACACTTCTGCGTTAGTATGTGTGTGTATCTAGATATATGTCTATATTGGCGATGGCAGGCCAAGTCAGATGAACGGATAAGGCCACGAAGACGTGGGCGAACTGACGAAGCGATGAACAAAAAACGATTTGAGCTGCGGCTGTTGTTGCTACCCTGACGGTGATGATGGGGTTACTGCAACCGGAGCTGGATAAAGGGGATTTGACTGTCTCTCGATTCGGTTGCCGACGTTCGTATGTCTACTGGTGTGCTCACTGGTACGCTGTTACGTTCACTATCGAGAACGTCTAAACAGAAAGCGCTAAAAGCGAACTATCTAGTGCCTGTCATCGCTACTATTGACGTATCTATCTCTTGAGTCTACTATTTCTCAGCGTACGATATAGCCAACTGGCCAGTGAGATTTGATGGGTATTTTCGCGGTGTACAGCAGGCACAGATGGGTGCATGGAACAAGGTACAACTGTAAAGGTTGTACGACGAGCGCCGTTGTGTGTTTGAGCTATTGTCAGGGCCTATGAGCTGGTAGAACGTGAGAAGCTGATTTATTTCTATTAGACTATGAACGTCTACGACACACACATTAGCCCGTCCGAAAATATCTGTTTGACAAAGAAGTACCATTATCGATGTGCTTCGTAAGATTTTCTGCCACGCCTGCGTTAGCTGTTGTATTTCGAATTTTTCCGCTGACATCAGCTGGCTCGTAAGTCAGTGGCGCTCATGTTTGATTATTTCATTATTAACTATGTTACCGCTACGATTAGTGACATAAGCGAAAATGGCAAGGGACAGACGTTTACGCGTAATCTGTACGTGGGACTGAAAGGATAGAAACTTCTAGGTATGATCTTCGCCAGGTGTTTAGGATCCTTTGACTAGCTGGCGTACGGACACAGTGCGCGGAGATGATCGAAGCTTTTTTTTTGTCAGTTAAGTTGCCTAAACGTCCCAGTGCAGGTGACCCACTGTAGAGCTTTGCTTGTTAGGGACCTTGTCTGTTTCTCTCTTAAGGTGTCCTACAGGGGGCTGCTTCTCGGCAAGAACACAGCTTAGCTTTTTCCCTTTAACTGTAAACAGACACAAATTCGTGGAAAATATAGCCACAGCGCTTGTCACATAAACACTATGTGATTTTTATTTTTCATTTGTGTTCGTTGGCCGTAATACCCGCATGCGTGGTTCCGTCACGTTGAGTGCAGATGCTAAATTGGAGGAACATAAATGTTAAACAAACACAAATGGGTTTATGGGTTGTAATGAAGGCACTAATGTGTTTGTTGTCAGTGTACGTGTTGCCTTTAGTTCAACATCTTTCGAGCATCTTACATGCATAATGGTCTGTGGACCTCGGATTAATATAACTTGTCTCTCTCAAATATTCTGCTAGAGAAAAAAACGATGTATTGGTTGACGGGACATAATGTTGAGACAGTTTGGTAGTAATCCTTGATCGAATCCTCTTCAGGTTGTTGGTTCAGGTCACATACAACATATTTATTATTTGCTTGCTACTTCAGTCGGAAGCTGGGATTCGAAGAGGTTCATGTAATCTCGTGGATTTCTTGGGTACTATCATAGGGCGTACGAGAATTCTATATTTCTTAGAGGAAATTATAATATTAAGGAAGGTGCACTGTATTTGATAGTTGTCTTTCTTTTTAGACTGAAAAATACGGAAGGTTTCTGGCGGAACTTTTCCTCTGCTAATTCCTTTCTGCCTTAAGCATTGTTTGTCTAAAGCTTCAGCCAAAACCCCCTATAAATCAAACCCCTGTTATTTTTAACTAATCTAAAGTGATGATTGTATTGGGTCTTGTAAATAAAACATATTCTATTGTCCTCCCCCTCTTTTCGCCGATAGTATGGCCACATGCTGTCTGTCCATCATGGAATCTCCCCTTCGCTGATATTTAAGTGAATTCTTCTAAGTTCGTCATTGTACAGTTCTACCATTTTGTAGCAAGTAGAAATGTACGGAAAATTAATACTTCTACTCGCTACAAAGACAAGGGACCGCACAGTATCCAAGAGGCAAGTAATACTATGTATTCATTATACGTTATATTGGTCTCACCGTTTTTATTAGCAGTACGCCTTCGACGCGCTAATGGAAAAGATATGGGTCGCACAGTATAACATTGTTTAGATAAACAAGTTGGCTCGCCCAATAGCTATTTTTTGACATTATGCTTTAGCATTTCATTATATTAGATCTGTTACGTCGCGAAGAACTTTGATCTGGCGACGAAATTGACATATTTCACATTTTCGGACCGATAACTTGTTGGTAGAGCCAAGTTATATGCACTCACGACCCCCCAAAGTTCGTGACTATTCAACTTTATTGTATGCTTTTTTTTTCTTTGTAATAATCTTATTAACAGGACTACTTTTTCGGATCTATGAAAAGCTTGATGTCGAAGTACCTTATCGCCAGGCTCTATTTGTCAATGTACCTGGCATACGGCCCCGTCCTTCTAATGAATAAGCACGATCAGTCGATTAATTTTTTCGATCCGTAAGCTTCCTAGTTAGGATCAGATTTTAGATAGACAGACCAAGCAGGGCCAGTGGACCCTACTCGCAAGCAGAAGCTAAACTGGATGATTCTTGTCAAACTTCAAAGTGTTCACGAGCTCCAAGTTAGGAAATGTCATATTTTGAAGCTCTTACTTTGTCGTTTCACGAAGTAAACTATGTTTTATCAGATGTTATGCATTTTCTTTGAATTTGAATCATTTGTTTTTTTGCTTAAACTTCATAAGTTGAAGTATTTTTTAACTCTTAAATTAGGCGCTTGAGACATTGATTATAAATTCCTCCTCAGCTCCCTGCTTACCTTGACAACGAAACAGGTAATACATTGAGCTATCTAATAAATGCTTCTTATACGTCCGGATTACACGGTGCTTTATCGTCAGTTTTCCTTTAGCCTCCATTATCCGTCGAGTTTTTATCGCAACACCCCTAGGCCGTCCTTCTCCATATTACAATGTAATGTTAACTGTATTATAATGGGGATATGTGCTATGGTGATGGGAAACGGCGACGGCCGACAGTACCTTAATTGTCGAGTTCTTTTGCAGCTCTTGCATTGGCCGTGCGATGCTATTCATTTTGTCGCTACCAATGCCGGCTGTTGTCGTCGTCGTGCGATCAGTTATTTTCGTGACTCACGAAGTTCATCTGCTTTGTTCAACGCGGTCAGCACTGACGACGTCTTCTCTGGTACGAGCAAACGGTCGATGTAGCACATCTTCACCCGTTCGTAGAATATATTTGCAAACAGCTAATTCAGAATAACAATTGCATAGGCCATATCGCCGTCAGATGGTGCACGTTCGATCATTTGGTGTATGGATGTCTATCAATGTCTACCTATGCGACTGGGGCAGCGGGTCTCTCCGTATTTCCAAAGGGGTAATCAGTGAGTAGTCACGACAATGAGGAGAAGACGCCTAAAAATACACGTACTTATCTACAGGAGAAACTCATGAACGAAAAGACAGAAAACTCATACAAGACTTCTATTAGTACTATTAAGCACTACGGTCAGTTTCGAATTGTTGTGTTTCGCTGAATAAATTAGATTTTTCAGTATCAATACCAAATCCGTTAGATGGAGACAACGACCCCAATGGAGTTCTCTTGGTCATCTTGTATGGCGCCTATGCCCACCTCTATTAACGATTTTAACAAACGTGCTTTTGAAGCAGCGCTCTAGAGAGAGAAAAAGAATAATTATTTAAAGTCTGCCGCCGTGTTTCAATATCTCTCTTTGGCCCTTGCTTCACTAATCGGGTGAACCGATGCGGTCTCGTTATAAAACAGGACTACAACAAAGGCTCCGGGTAACTTCTGGGAAGCTGCTGCTAGGACGAAGAGCGCGCCGATGGTCCACTTACAAGTTCCGGCAACTCAGTCGCGAGCAGGAAACTGGTCAGACCAATTGGTGAATTCTACTAAATCCCGCCGTTTTGTGCAAGGCCTTGACTGGCCACTGGCCTTAACCCCACACCTGCTGGTGCTCGCTAGCTCGGCTCAATTATTCATTTCAAATGTGGTTTGCTAAAGAAATCTAGTTCGATCACTAATTAAGAGGAGACCCAAACGTAGCCACGTGACAATTGGACGACGGCTTCCGGCTACAGCGCAACCGCCCATTTTTTGTTAGGTTTTCTGATAAAATAGCAAAGGGGCCGAGCAGACCGTCCTGCAGAAGTAAGACGAAAGAAGCAAACAAGAAGTACCAAAGCTTGGACAAGTTACTGTTGTATCCTCTTCGCTATCCCATGATTAGGATGTTGCGCAGCTTAGAAAATAGGAACTTTCAATCACTGAGAAAAATATACAGTTGCAATATATTATTGAAAGAAATCTGTTACTAACATATTTCTTTCAATAATGGCATAATCGTAGATTTCGGTAGGGTCGTAGTCAAGATTGGACGGAGTATTTGCCCGACACTTCATTTAGAGACATGACTGAATGTTTACTGTTTATTTACTATTACTACTATTGACAATTTACTATACATATATATATCACGAGGGCACTACTTGGCGCTATATTTTTATCATGTAACCAACGCGTCATCCATGGACTAGACAGGATAAAAAGTGTAAGCATACTAGTTCAGCTCACAATAGAAAAGAAAGGCTGTCAAAGTTAGATTCCGGAAAACGTTCCAGTCTAATGACGTGTATACTAGATCAGGTATTAATTGATTCTTCGTACGCTGCTACATTAACGCCCTTTTCCGATTAATACCAACTAGTAATTATGTCTATAACTGTTATGACTACCACTTACCTTGGCACCGATTTGGTTACCACACTGGCCGGCCTGGATGTGTACAATTTCACGCATGTTGAAGCTAGGTAGCTATAGCTATGATGCTTTTTTAGTTATTAGATACTCAACGTTGACAACACTCGCACTCCAATGGCTACGATGAAGTACCAGGTCGGCCGTCCTATCTCCTTCCAAAGAACCAATTCACTCAATAACGATACCTGGCAGCTTTGTTCTTTGGGGTGCTAAGATATTATTTGTCCTGTTTCTTGTGGTCGCTTAGCTGGGTTAACAGTTGTTGTTAATCAGCGGGTCGTTATTCTTCTTCGCGGCGGATGATCAGTGCCAGTCAAGGGACGATGAGCTCTACAGCTTCACGATCGCACTGTTTGTCCAGCTGATGTTCAACGTCGCTGATCCCGACTTCGCTGTTAGCGCGGAGGCCTACAGATTCATAGACTTCTTAATATGGAGCTTTAGGGAGAGGGCCGTTTTCGGTCGTTCCGGCGAGGGCCATCGCATCTGTTCGTTTGTCCTTTGTTTCGTGTTGGTGTGGCAGCTATCGGCCGCTCTTGTCCAAATTAAACCATATACGCCATTACTGCTATGACTATTGCGTTTACGGCTATGAATTCTACTACCACGGCTCCACAACACGGCTTCTGTATGTACATACAATTTCTACTATGCTCGTCCTGAAGCGGTGAAGATTCACGGAGTTAGGGGCACGGAGCTTGTGCGGCGACCGCGATGACACCGACACTCTGATTAGCTAACTTTGGCTCGCGATGCTGACAATGACGTCCCAGCTAGTTCATATGCGCTACTTCTTATGGTGACAACAAAAATAATCGTGGTAACAATTCCTATTGGTGACCCTCTCGACTGGGTTTGATATGGACGAACGCAACGATCATACGACCAGCTAATCGATACTGACATAGGTTAAATGCTATCTGGTTCTGACGGGTGCCGTATTGGGCAATGATTAATGTTACTTTTAAGTTCTATATTTGACATAAGTCCCTTTCGGTGAGCGCCCGATGAGGTATGGCTGTTGATAGTCTAGATATTTTGGCGATAGCAAAGCTAGTCTCGAAGCGGTCTTGCAGAGTTCGATCGAGGGCGCGGTATCTTACGGACACGAGGCACTGCTAATTGGGCGAAATTATGAAAAGTGAACTTTTAACAAGTCGTATCAATGAAACGGTGGCGTTAGAACGATCCAAGGTGTGACGGGGCTCGCTCAAAGGGTAGCTGGTCGAATATACCGTATGTATAATATCACATTTATCTGTAAACGTCTGTTTACATAATTTCTTTTCGGGACCTTTCTTCGGGTTCGTTCCTAAGCTCGCCTGAATCTAGCAAAATTAAAAACAGAATAACGGGTCCTAATAGAAACAAACAACTAAAAAAAGGTTTCAAATATAATTCGAAATATTTCAACCTGACATTTTCTATAGGTAAAAGTGTCGGATGCTATAGTTACAAAAGGGGGCTTTGCGAATTTCCTTAACACATTTTATCCGCGAGTGTATAAAATCACACGAGGTTTTCAACTAAAACGTAACTCTTATTATAAATATTCGGGATCCTACACAGCGTTTTTAAGTTGATGCGTATATAGGGCTTTCTATGTACTTGTAACATACGGTGAACGCTTCTCATCGTACACGATACTCACAATCGAAATGTTCATAGAGAATAGGCAAAACATTTCGCGTGCCTCGCATACAAGCGGGTGGATGCTAACGTGCGCCATATCAATAAGTTGCGCGAGGATCAGTAAGTTACATCCTTTGCTCGTTTTAAGGGAACAACTTTATATTTCTTTGGGAGCCGAGATCAATGTTGTTCTCTGATCGACGCCTTTACCAGTCGGTCGAAAGCGTTCGTAATTCGGCAACGATCTTCGAACTGTTGAAGCCACAATGATACGTCAAAGCGCGGCCTTAATTTGGGCCTGGGCTTGGGTTCATATTCTACAACTACTTCCTTCAAGAGGCTAATTCAATCTGAAATTTAATCGAGGAATGGCCTGCGCATAATAATAGCGCACTTTTATCAAGCAGCTGAATAACTGAACCGAGCGTCACGTTCTTTACTAAGCACTACGTTGACATTACTCATTTACATATTTACCGATTGTTCATGGTTTGTTGAATCTGGGAGCTGCTATCTTCTTGCCTACCATGTCAGAATTACTTTTAAAGATCAATTATAGACTCATCGCCCATTAGTTCGTTAGAAATCAAGCAATGCACCACTGAAGATCGACTTGTTACAACTGCAACGCACCGTCCCACAAGTTCCATCTATTAAATCGGCCATCAGATCGATTCTGGGGCTTGTGATATCAAACGTATCTCTGAGAGAAAGCACACAAGTCGTATGATACTTTTTACATAATAATCGTATGATGTTATTTATATCATGGCTATTTGTTATTTTTTTTTAGCTGTTCTGTACTCGACGCCATCTGATAAGCTAACTTCGTCTTAGAAGCTATCGTTTCTTGTATTTTTGACCGCTGTAACTAATGCGCCGTTGGAGGCGGTTATAGAAACAACGACAATTATTGGTCAGCAGCATTATTGTTTTTACTATTAAAACTATGTAAACTATTATTATTAAGATGACGGAAAAGACGTATACGCCGTAGCAAAAAAAAATCATTCAGAAGTGACTCATCCATTGGTTACTAAGACGACAATTTACTGCAGATTCTTTTCAGTGGCCGAACGGCAGCTGCAACTTCTGTCGTTTTTATTTCGTCCTTTGAAACGTGATTTCGTAGCATCAAATGGTTCTCGTATTCTACGTGAACTCAGTGCATGGCTTCAAAGATAGATTTCAGTGCTCTACATACGGTTCATCCGATTGTGCTTATTATCAAACTAACTGAAAACCGCAGTCCGCCAGCATCGCTATATGACGGTGAATGGTTAGGAAGTTACGTCAGGGGACGGCAGTATTGCGATGAAATAAACGTGATCGGCTTCTTTCGCAGGTTGTCTACCGTTTCGTCCGACATGCATTTTACCGCTACCGGCGAGACTACCACGCTGTTGTTCTATTCGTAACGCTATCAGTCAGGCTGTTACTGTTACAGACCTGACAATTAGTTCACTGGTATAACTTTTAATACTTCTACGATTAATGGTAAGGCAGTATACAATAACCGTGGTCGTCGCCTCCGTGGACCGTCGTGAAGTCTGCCGGTGTCGCGACGGCTGTGGCCACGGCAACCGCAAGCCATCGACCGTCGTATGGCAGCACTGTATTCGCCTACGTAAACATAGCCAGCGACGTCACGTAACGCCACGATCGCCGTCAGATATCGCTCTGGACCGTGCGATCTCTATTCTTTTACCAACGGTCTGCCCCGGTTTTGTTTTTTGGCCGATCTTTTCCGCCTTTTTTCTGTCGGCCGCGTACCGGGTCCGACGTCGGTTTGTTGGTACAGCGCTCTGGTCCGATTGAAGGGCAACGCATACTGCCGCAGCCTCTGAAATGTCTACAGTCGTAAAGCAGAACGAGTCGGTGTTGTTTTCGAGTTGTTGTTGTTATTATTACTGCTGCTACAGCTTGTGTGGTCTGTGCATTTTTTTTCTCGATTTCATTTTCTATTGCTGAGCAATGAAGCTTAGTCTAGCTTGTTGATTCCCCTATCTTCTTTGATTGCTGCTAATTTATCCAATTAAAACTGCTTCGCACCTGTAGCCGGCTGAAAATGATGGCGCGGCTGCGGCAGCCGAGACGATGGCGGTAACGATAGTGATGAGCGTGTTTGCGTACTTACTTTTTGCAAAGCTTTCGTGTCCGTTCAGCACGAAGCGAGATGGTGGATGCCCTTTTTAGGGGGGAAACATCCAGCGGCGAATCAGCATTCGCAAGCACACCGTACGGAACGTAACCGTACGAGAACAGGGTCGCTTTTGCTGTTAAATTGTGAATAATCGATTATGGTAACGTCGGTGACACGGAAAAGGGCGGTGGCGCGACGGACGGCATGAAACAGTGCAGAATGACGAGTGCCGCCATTTTGCCCATGTTCATTGCGTAACACGATATTGTTGTTATAACGGGCGACTACATGATAAAAATACTGTTCAAACGACATACAAATTCGGACATAGTTTATGAGTTGTATCTGCCCCAGAAGCATCAGCAGATAAAGGCGTGAAAAACGGAGATAGAAGCTAGTACATACGGGTACATATCTTTGATGGCCAAAATCTGAGCAAGGCTGTCTAGAAGGGAAACATTGCATTAGGCGGCTACGGCGAACGTTCCTGTTAGCACGAGTCATACATTTGCAGAAGGTACGCTCACGGATGTTTAGCACGATATCAAGAAGCAATAATGGCGCGTGCAAGTTTAACTATCAAGCAATTCAGCGTGTAGTTTTTAATTATGTCATGCCATCTGTGCACGCACCCAGTGATGCGGACACAACTTCTAAGTAAATTAACTTCTACTTCTCAACTAGTTTACTTATCTGCAATCTTTATTTAGAAATTTTTGAAAGTGATCGCTAAACACAATAGTGCTTTATAGCATATGCATTTTAGAGTCTATATAAATGTCCATCCCTGTTAGCCTCGCCCAAACCGGACATTTACGTCTATCTATGGTATTGAGTTTATTTAGAAACATTCTGGCTCAGAATTTAAATGAGTTTCTTTTTTTTTTTTATATATAGCTATTGGCTTCTACAAGAGAACGCTAACAATGATTCCATCAAATTTCTACCTACGAGTAAGCGGCTCTCTAGCGAAATGGGGCTGACATGTAGGAAATGGGTGCAGATTTCTAATAGGCACGTAGTGCCCATTCTGCTACACTCAGAAGCGTTCGTTTCTACTGTTCGAAGCTGGAATCAACAAATAGAGCTATTAGGACAGCAGGTTCATCATGCGTCCCCGATTTTTAATCGTGTGGTTATAATACGCACTCGTTCGAGAAATAATGATTATAGCAAAAAAATAACGAATGGTACAATTTTTGCTCATTTAAGAAATCGATGTTAAAAAAAGCATTTTAGATCAGTCCTAAATAACCGATTTTTTTTTTTTTTTTTTATATCTTATTAACGTTTTTGGTTGTCAGCGTGCATCAAAAGCTATTTCTCGGTACATTTGTGCTCCTGGCTACTTAACATTCGATCTACTGCGATTACTGTTGCTAGAAACCGGTGGCCGCACGTAGATTTACGAGTTTCTCTTAACTATTCTGCTTTGATAACCCTTTAAGGATACTAGTGATCTTGTTCGCATAAGTGCTTCGAGCTTCCTAAAAACTCTCGTATACTATAACCGGTATTTGACATGCAGCATGTGTCAAGAACTACCGAAGCTGCTAAATTAGAAAAAACATTGTGGTTACGTTTGTTAAATGCTTACACTGTCGCAG